TCCTTCCAGCGGGACGCTACTCCAGCCCACAGATCCAAGTTTACCCGCGAGTGGTGCCGACGACAGCTGCCCGACTTCATTGGTGAAGAGGAATGGTCATCCTATTTTCCAGAACTTGAATCCCACGAATGGTCTCTGATTAGAAGAGGACCTGTCGAGTTTGCAGTCCCAGTTTGGAGTCCTAGAATGCAAAAGCTGGAGGACGGCTGGGAAGAAATGGAAAAGGATACCTGCGTGCCAAATGCGATCAAGTCGAAAGCAAACTTTGACTTCTATTCGCGCTCACGGGGAATATTTTGAAATGCGACTTTAGCATGTTGTAGCACATAGTGTTAGCTAGCGTGCATAGAAATTCCATCGGCGTTCGTAGTTGAGAAGTTTCAAATATATTGCTATAAATCGGCGCAAATAATTTTGGGACACCCTGTACATGTCTCTCTGACCATTTCCGAGATCGATTCCCAGAGACTTTCCTGACGCTCCTCCAACTCGTTGTTGACTTCTGATTTTAGATAGGTGTTTATCTACCCTTCGTGCTAATCTTATGCACTTCATTCATGAGGTGCATAATATTAGCACGAAGGGTAGATGAACAGGATGTTACCCTATTAGGCGGAGATCGGAGCGTAACATAAAGGGCAGACTTCTAAAATAGACTTTTTGTAGAAAAAAAAACATTCACCATTCAAATCCATTCGAATTCAGGATGTGAATTGGATGGGGCACTTACACAAACGACCATACTTGCAGTGGAAGATAACTGTGAACTTATCTATGGTGATTTTATTCTTTCGGGAAAGGATACGCCAAGTTCTGATGTATTGGAACAGAAGTTCGGCAAAGCCACCATACTTGCTGGCCAACTGCTGGTGATGGACACTGATATCGTTGATTTGAGCTTTCTCGGCAAAGTACTGATCGTTGAAAAATATCTCACCTCTACCGGTAGAATTTCTATTTAATTTTTCAAGCTTCATTCTTGACTTCTACGTGTATTGTGGCCGCTACTCTACTGACTCTTTGATTTCTTGTTTGACTTCGATTTCAGAAATATACGACGAGAAATATCTTCGAATCACTGGCAATGAGAAACTAGAACGTCTAGGTTTGGACATGCTTACAGTATGTTGCTCAAAGAATTTATTTACATATAGACTTATTCATTTATTTAAGCTGCACTGTTGGTGCATAAACAAACCATAAATCATGTTAATCAACACAAAGTAAGATAAGAAACAACAACATAAATGAAGCCATAAACGAACTCGTTGGGGAGACAGTATTACTTCCCGAATTCCTACGGCAAAGCCCCAGCGATTCCGCGACGATTACTGAATTCTCCCACTTGAAATTCAAACCTCAACCTTCATAGCGCGCGCCTACGGGCGATCGGGTGTGACTAGCGCGACGCGATTTTTGGGGAGAAGTACCCACACCCATACGCTACTGCCAGTTGGAATAACACATAATTTCTTTTTATTTCGAACTTTGGACTCTGTTCAATGAAACCAAAACCTTCTGAAATGGAGTCGATGTTGTAACCTTCAAGTTGAATTCAGGAAGTTTTTGGTGTCTCCATCCATATTTCCGGCAACAGTAATCTGTGCTTCAGTTCAAACGAAATGAAAAGTTTTATTTATTCCTATAGTATTAGGAGTATCGAGGGAAGGATTTGTGAAGGTAATTTCGATCAATTGCTAAGCCAAGTCATGTCGATGCCATAGAATACCCCGACAAAGGCAGCGTTACCCGTGGGTGAACCATTTCCTCACGGAGATATGTATGTGCGTTCGGGTATCTACTGATGGTGTAGGGATTTCCACTAAAACGGGGACCTTCCAGCGCCCCTCCTCCTAAAACGCTGTTTGGCAGTTCGGTTCTCGATTCGCCTTGTTTTGTAAACACCTATAGATTCCCCATATAAATTTATTCCCATAACCGTTAGGGGCAATCGGGAGGCTTCCCCGCAGTTTCTCACCAACGATAATCTTATAATTCCATATAGGGCGTAATGATCAGACAGGGAACGTTTCATACTGGCTTTATACATACTAAAATGGTGTGTTCAGATAACTTTTAACCTTACAGGAAGAGAATCAACGGAGATCGGGCTGAATCGCTCATGCAGAATTCGCGACAACAGCACTTTGGCGACTATTCCGGCCAACTGTGAAACGCTGATCGGTCGACTAACTATAGACCACACCACGGATCTTTCCCATCTGTGGAAACTATACAATGTGACAACTATTTACGGACAGTTGGTAATCCGAAACACCTCAATCACTTGTCTTGCTGCATTGTGGAAATTGGAGAACGTTGTCAACCTTACCGGTTCGTTTTAGACATGGGCATTTCTTTGAAAAGGCGTTTTTTTGTTGTGACTTTTTCGATTGAGAGTTTTTCGAAAAAAACCTGAAATTACTATTTGAATCTCTTTCTCATATTGATCAAAGACTGCAGAAGCCGTTATTGAAAGGACTGTTTCCACCTTTCAGAAAGGAATTCCTTTTGGGCTGCTTCCAGAGATTTTCTCTGCATCTTACGCTACATTTCTTCTGACCTAATTCTATCAGATTACTTCAGACTTAGTTTTGCAAAAATATATTTATGAGAGAGCTCAACACGGATCTTTACGGATTCCACAGGGTTACGCTTCCCTTTCAGGCAAAGTCATCAATAAAACATTCTGGTCATTTCCTTTCGGAAAAAAAACCTTGACTCTCAAGAAGCCATGTATTTTAAGTTCCCCATACAGGGCCCAGGGTGCATTCCCGAGTCGAGTAGAGGAGAAGACCTGGCGTAATAAAGGCTCGAAGGAGGGTTCTGACGTACATTGCCGCTCAGTGCTCCCAAGACTGGACGTGTTGAAAAGCCTCGTAGACGCTGATGGTATCCGAAATGGAGCACGTTTGCTGTAAATGCAGACAGCTGGTACACGTTGATAGCTTCCGCTGTTGTTTGTGCGACTGACATCTCGTCCAACCTTAGAAATGAGCTCACATTTCGAGTGATAGCTGATTCTTTCGTTTTCTTCACCATCGATATTCTACATCATTACCTCCACCCTGAAGTCCCAAGAAGGAACATCTGAAGGGATTGAAGGTGGTTGGCCTGGGTGAGTATGACCGGTGTTGGATCTGCGAACTGTTCATGGGTGATAGCGCACCGTTTACCAAAGCACCTGCACTACCTCCGTCCTTTAATTGGACATTTTTCGTTATTCAACTTTTTGTTAGCTCACTCAATGGTTCAACACCAAGGAGAAGAACCATCTCAGATGTGAGATGTGCTACTGGTTTTGAGAGTTTTATAACTGTGCTCATTGCTCCCTGTGTGAATAAACTTCGGGGAGTCCATTTTTCAGCGAACGAGACAGCAATGGTGATTGAATCAAATGAGCGCCTCAAGTCGCCTTTCTTGTCAAGCATTTTTCTAGTAATCAGGTCTGTTTCATAACGCACAAAGCAGTGACGCATGGCAACGGAAGGAGACTGTTGATCTCTTACTCCTCCGAAAAGGAAATTCCATTCAGTGATCGGCCGGTGAGACTCCAGAATAACACTGTGATGATGCTCTCGGATGATGATTGTGCGATGTTAAATAAATCAGCGAAAGTGGACAGTTCGGGTAATCGGAAGAACTGTGCAGGTAATGATATTCATTCAGCTTTGTAAGTAAATGATGATCATTTTATTCTGAAAGCACATTCAAAGATGGCACTTTTTTGAGAGCAAAGGGTCTCAAAATGAAACTGTACCGTTTAGAGGAGGTTAGAGGGTATTCAAAGACAAAGAAAGGAAACCTCCACAAATTAGCGTAGTGAAGCCCGACTCCCTTTGCAGCTTGTTTTTGGTATTTCTGTTAGAACACGAGGTCATGGGAAGAGAGGCGCGCCTTAGACCGAGCTCTCGTTCGTTAGTATAGCATTTTCTATGATAACAGTCATTCCTTCCGTCAATACTTCTATGCCCACTGGGGTTCCCGCCATATCCGACCGTTACCAGCATATTACCACTTTCTGTCCATTTTACGAACGATGGGCGGGGAGTGAATTAAGGCGGACAGAAAATAGCGGACGAACTAATGCTCCTAGTGCTCTTCTAGTTCAATCTTGATATTACCATAATTTCTCACTTACCCGACCGCAGTCGCAAAGTTCAGGAAGATCACCTCCATGGTCTTTGACAGATCCACCATTCATACATACAATGGGAAAAACCCAAACCGTGCCATGAAGGAGTGGGCTTTGAAGTAAACTGCACAGTAGAAAGAGTGAATCGTTACGGGCGGCATACGGGATACCACAGGATAAGCCACACATTCTCCATTTTCGCAGAAACGAGTAAAAACCATTTTTTAGGTTTGGATGGCGGCTCATTTGGTTGAGCATTATTCCTCTTGACACTTTATACTTCCAAACGATGCCCTTACAAATCATATCATCGGGTTCCAGCGGGTGTAGGGGCTGGAGCGGGTTCCAGCGGGTGTAAGGGCTGGAGCGGGTTCCAGCGGGTGTAAGGGCTGGAGCTTCAAGGGATTCGGGCCAAGGATGCAACCAATTCCCTTATAAGGTTATTCAACAGAAACAAACCTCATAAGGTGCTCAACCAATACCTAAGGCTGCAGAACTTTCAGCCTCCATTGCTCCTAAGAAGGAAAAGTATTTGATAAGGGACGATCTGTGGTATAGTCGGGTACATATAATCCGCCTTTTCTTTGATTTCCAAATACTCCTTGCGTCCCTTTTTATTTTTTAAATTTATTTACATACGATCATTTGCTGACTGTTATCCACTATAACGTGCCTTTGAGCGCAATAAATAGATCAATTAATAAATCTTTAAGACTTAATAAAATCGTCTACGGAGTTACTCGATGTTGTTGGTAAAGTGAACATCTTTCTGGTCGTCTGGTTGGTCTGCGGTTGCCCATTCGAGAGCGTGACCAGATCCTTTATGATCTCATTTCTGCTACTTCAAACTGTTTACTGTGCCATTGGACTATTATTATGATGCTCAGTTGTGTAATTATTTTATGAAAATTAAAGAATTGCTTCAAGTATTTTTGAATGGTTCTCTTTGCTACTCCTAACCGTCGTTCTTGCTCAGCCACAGCTTTGCTTTGGTCTTCGAACTTCGTTCCAAGGAATCTTCTTGTATCAGGTTTATGTTGTGCACTCTCTATTACTTTATTGTCATGAACACAACAAAGTGGAGATAAAAAGAGAGTACAAGTAAAGGTAGTGTAGTGGCAAGTAACGCTGCACTGTCATATTGTCCAAGAATCGACTCCGAACCGACAACTGGAGGTCGATCCTGGGGAGAGGAAGGAGGAGACAGTCGAGCAGGAATTCGGCTACCTTACCCCCTCCAATGACTCTGCTACAAGCTCAATGGTCCTAGAGGGTACGGTTAATTAATTTAAATTAGAATACGCTTCTCGAAAGACTGCGTGTTTCCTCAGTAACCATGGTGAAGGCTGGAAGCATTCATCGTGATGGGCTTAGCTTCACCTTGGAAGAATGTGAAGTCACATACATACATGAACTGAGTGTCGTATCTGAATTCCTCAAATTCGATTGGCTTTTTCAGAAGCATCCACTGGCTGGAGCGAAGCCATGATAATTTGATAGGCACCCCTCGATAAGAATCCGAAAAAAGTTGTTTTCAGGTTGCTAACCGAGTAATGCAGTGAAGAAGTGGTAAAGTTTTTTGAATTGAGTTTCACCAAAAGTAGGTAGCTACGAGTTCGATACGGAATTCCAATGAACTGGCATCGAGCTTGGTACTATCACTGTAGTCTTATAACCAGTAGCAATATTGATATTTTATTTACAACAGCAAGATTTTGTGGCAATTAGAACTATGTGTAAGATGAAAACAACGAGCGATGTGTAGAAAAGATTCTGAGGACAATACGTCATAGATGTAATAGCCAAGTAGTCGACCGAACTCACCAAAGCCACCGCTTTATAGAAACCTGAAAGAGGGGGGAACAATAAATTAGTTACTATAAAGGGCATTTTGTAACATTGAGTAAATGGAAAGGAAAATTGTTGGGAAGTCCTATGCGAATAGATTTACTCGAGTTCTATGCTCTATCATATAATAAAAGTATATAAGAATGAAATGGGTGAAAGTGTTGTAGTGACAAGTGGCGTACTTTCTCATAATCATGGCCCCCGGTTCAAATCCCGGATGGATATCCCACTAGACCAAGCAAATCTCCAATCCCTGTGGAGTCGCTTGAATGGAACCAGACTCGTCTGCGAGGACAGAAACACTGACTTGTACATCGACTGGCCATCGCAAGTCATTGTATCGGCCACATACGCATTCACTACGCCACTGCTATTCTGAATGGAAGCTGGGTGCATCCCTCGGACGGGATTGATCAATGCCCCCAGTTCTTTCTATTTTTTGGATGTCCCAAAAACGCCTGATCATTGCCTCCAACTACTCCCGCAGCTCCAAAAATTCACCCGTGGGACCGTTCACTATGAAGTTAACTCCTTGTAAAGCGCTTTCAATAAAATTGGGTAAAAGTGGCTCCAGTTGAGCTTACAATCGGAACATCGCACCGTTCGATATCATATACACCCACGCGGTTGGTCTGAAAAAAACCTACCATACAGAAAACCTACCGTACACTTCAAAAACCATAGAGACCAATGATATAGCAACATATACAAGTGCCACCAATAAACCGAACACAATTTGGAAAGCATCCTTAAAAGAACAACAGTATTAACCCTTTATGAAAAACCCCTATTTCAGAATTTATACGAGCAACAATAGTAAGACGGAAAACTCTAAGCGGATGATATCGATCAACAGCAAAAATAAATTCGCATTTTTTCCCCTCGGAATGCAATTTTTGAATTCAGTGGACATTCTTGGGCTCGTAAACTCATAAAATTTTTCTTCTCCGACAAATCACTTATTGAAAATGTGAATTTTGGCATCTCTAGAGTTTTGAAATCAGTTCACCTTAACATCTTTAGAGACGGCGATTGTTGTCAGCATGCAAGTGACAAAATATGCATTGTCTAATAACATTTGAAGCAATGACATACATGTTCGGACAACTCGTCCAAATACCCCTTCCACGAAACTTTTAACGTCGCATTCTCGTCCAATCTCTGATTTTACACTTTTTTGGAGCCTTTTCGTAATACGCAGATTTGTACTTTCTCCTGAACGTTTGGACTATTCTCAACTATCCCTTCCATTATACGTTTGAAACTAGATACCTCAAAATCGTAAACTCTGCCATTAATTTGCTAATCCATTAGTTACAAGTAGCTTCTGCACTTGACCGCTAATTCAATCCCCCCCCCCACCCCTCTTCCTGACCCACTCTTTCTCGAAATAGCTTTACTCGGAGCCCTGTACTTATTGTTAAAAGTAATCTATGCAAAGTAATTACGGTAATATGCACATACCGTATATTATAAAATGACGAAGAGCTTTTTTGCACTGAGTGCAGTATCAGGTAGGCGATACAAGTATATGGTTCCAACGCCTACTGCTAGTCCAGTGGCAGCAGATATGAAGGATGTGACAGCTTGACGTGGATTCACTTAACAGTTTTGTATTGAAGATGAGTTAACTTCAAAAAAAGAATACTGCTGAAATTGATTTGCTTTCCAATAGGCTTTGCAGTATTACCAGAAGTACATGGGTCACGAGGCGCCACTGAGGTCACTGGGTCTTCAGCACTGGCCTACTTGATTTTTCAATCTGCGCAACTTAGCTGATGTTAATCATTCATGCTGGCTCTCAAGGTCTATTCTAGAGCTGAGGAATGTATGCATCTGCGTCTGAGCACATCAGGAAGTTTTCCAGCAGGTTTCATGCATACTCATTCTCATAAGTAATTGAGCACCTGCATTTATGATGATAGTGGTCGAATGGCAGAACTCAATAACTTCAGCTTCAGTTGACGGTAACGTGCCTTTCGCCGTTTCTATCGGCTATGATTGAACTAACATAATTCTCATGCTTTTTAATCTCAATCGAATTGTAGCTTCTCGACGTTTGTGCAGATGGTATTCCAAGCAACAGAACGCTACTAACCTTTGGGCTTTCATAAAGAGTAGAGATAATTGCGCTATTTGAAAGAAAAGTCTAAATCTGAATCACCGAGGTTATAAGACAGTTCCTCATAAGCCTTCTCATTCTGACCACATTTCCACAACCATGCAGTATGCATGTACCTGATAGGTAACCGTAATCTTACCGTAATTCCCAGAGGCTTCAAAAAAGTACTTGGGAGAGGATG